AACTTTTAAAAATTATTACTCTTATTATTCTAGTAAATTGGTCCTTCTTTTGCTGCGCTGCAGCTTCTCGCGGAATTCTCTCTGTAGGAATTCAAACTTAAATCTGAATTCCAAAGAGAATTTATCTGCCTCTTAACTACCAAGACGAAATATTGACATGGCGTGAAGTTATTTGAGAAAGGTTAGGAGGTGAAGGGGGGCGGGGAGGGAGGGAGGGGAAGTACCGTTCGAATTGCAGCATCGATCTAGGATATTGGTCCATCTGGATCAGCGAGATCCAACGGATCTCAGGAAGGTCCGTTCGCAAGCCGAGTGCCAGGCAGGCGCCTTCCTTCTTGCACTTTTCTCGAGTTTCTTATTGCAATAGATCGAGTGAACGAATTTCGTGAATTGTCCATGCCAGGATCACGTGCCGCATTGGCTAACTGTACCAGTTCTGAGGTTGTGCACGAGCATTAATGGCCTCCAGCCTCCAGCCTCCGTTACGGACACAGCGCGCGGGCTTCTCTTATGGGAAATCGCGTTCGATCCGCGACGGTATTGACTTTGCCCGCTCGAAACTTTCTGCGGTCCTGGCTCGAGCGTCACAGCGAGTGCGCCTTTACGAAAAGGTCGAGCGACTCCCGAGAGACGGCGAACGCTGGCTGGAAGATCGTGGCGGATCGGAGGAAATCCGAAGACGTCGAAGCAGGTCGAGAGAGGCCCGTCGAGAGAAAAGACGTCTAACGGTACCAGTGCGTCGCACGAGCCGCGGATTTAGACTCACTCTTGGCTCAGTCACTTTTTCTTACCAAATAATCCTCCTTCCCGCAGCTCGCTTTTTCTTGACGCAGCAGCAGGACGAGGAGGTCAGCCCGCGCCGCGATGTTTCGAATCGCCTTTTCACGCCTCGGGCGCTGTGCTGCGGCGGCTGCGGAGGCTGCGGAGGCTGCGGAGGCTGCAGCTTCCAGATATCCCGGAGAGACCAGGAGAGCCGCTAGAGAGACGTACGATTCGACACAGCCCCCTTCTAATCGATCCTCCCTCGCTTCTGCCACCTCGATTTCGCTCAGCCTGATCGGATCGATCGATCCGTCGACCGATCGGCAGATCCGATAAGCGGATAGACACGGCCGCTGCTCCTCGATCCGCTGTACAGTTAGATGAACCGGAGTCTCCTCGGAGATGCCTGCGAGAGCTCGGAGCTTCGATCGGCCCAGGATGCCTTTCTTCGGGGAAACGCGCGACTAGTGGAGCGTGCTCGAGAGCAGCGATCCACACGGGTGACTCGCGCCTGCCGTTGGAATCGAATCGGGTTTCCCTTCTTCCTTCGCTGACGCACCCTGGACGCATCGGTCTGCCGGTCTGGCTGGCCAGGGCGGCTCAAAATTGAATTTTTTTTTCACGGTGCAATTAAAAGCCGAAGCGGCGCGCGCGCTGCCCGCGAGTGACGAGTGAAGCGGGTTGGTAGCGCAGCGGGCGGACTCGCGCGCATGCTTGCCGAAACGAAGGAAAAGATCTGGAGGCAGAGGAGAAGAAGGAAGAGAGGCAGGATCAGCCTGGCAGGCGGGAGGAGTAGATGCAGAGCCAGCCGAGGAGAATCCTCCTCGGAAAAGAGTGGAAAAGAGGATCGCGAGGAAGGTGGCGCAGTGGTTGCCAGATTTCCGAGAGTCTCCAGGCAGCGCGTTCACCAGTGGTGCTTTCCTCGAGCATCCTGGGCAAGTCGCCGGCGGAAGGAGGAAAGAGCGAATTGCCCGACGAGGGCGGACTCGTAGAAACTGTCATGGCGTCCCAGGGCGTCCCAGGGCGTCCCAGGGCGTCCAAGGGCGTCGCAGGCTGCGCTACGAGGAGCCAAGTCGCCCTAGGGCCGCTTCGCCAAACGGATTGCTGCACTCTTATTTCGCGGCTCGTCCGTCTTTTGTTTTCCCTGGAGAAGCCGCTTTTTTGTAGGTGCGCGTGCGATGGGAGGGACTGCACGGGAGGGCGCGCCGGCCAATCGGAGCTCGAGGGCACCGCCTCCTCTCGGAGGACCGACCACCATCGAGCGACCTCCCCGACCTCCCCGACCTCCCCGACCTCCCTGGGATCCTCCGCGGATCCTCCCGTGTCCCGGCTCTTCTAGCCTCCTCTCTCTCCACCTCGTCCTTCGCGTCCTTCGTCCTGGCTCCAGGGACTCCCCCTCTAGGCCCCCCGCACCCCTCCGCCGAATCACCTCCCGCGACACCCTCGCGAACTCCTGAGTCGCTGCGGCCAACGACGCACCGTCGGGAGGTGCGCGCATGGGCACGGACCCTAAGGGTGCAACCCGGCTGGCAACCACTCCCGTCGCTCTGATCAGGACAGTCAACCCTCTCTCGACCCCACTGGCTCCTACCGTCCTGACAATTTCAACGGGCAATTGCCCCATAGTGCCCCAGGAACCCTCCGTCCTCCTTCGTTCGCCAGTTCGCCAGACTCCTCTCTCTCTCTCTCTCCCTGGCTGTGCTAGGGAGGTTGTTTTAGCTGCACACTGACCTCAGCCCCTGCGCTCCCTCCTGAAACATCCTGGAGACCTGGGTCCTCCGGGAGAGCCGTGTCTCGCGAATCCCGCAGGATCCCGGCGGAGGCTCCTGGGGGATAGGGTGGGCCGCGCATGGTCACTCTCCGTCAGGGTGCACCAAGGTGCACCAAGGTGCACGCCCTCCCGTGCAATAATATCATTTTACAACCGATATCATCCATCCATCCCCCTTTTGGCGTAACGACCGGGAACCATTTCCATGCGCCGCATACGATGCAGGCCCCATTTAATTAATTATGTATGACTGTGCTACGCAGCCGGACGGCCACCAATCACCGTTATCACGCGCTGCAAGAAAAAGAAGTACGAGCCACCCTTGGCTGTGGGTTATGGTGGGCTACGATGGGCTACGGTCGGCTACGATCGTCGCCACGCCTAATCGCCTAATGATTTTTTCAACCTCCCGCAATCCAATGACCAGCACTACTTGATTGCCAACGAAGAAAAGACTGAGAGACTGTTTTATGCTGCCGGCAAATGAAAAATCCCGAGTCTCGCCTCTGCTGTGTCTTTCTCCCCCGGTAAAAACCACAAACATTGCTGGAAAGGTCGCGGAACTCTCATTCCTTTCCTTTTTCTCGCCTCGTTCTATCATTCTTCTCGCCTGATTCTCTCGCGCTATATCTCCCACTCGACCGAACTGGACCAAAAAATTATGACGAATCGCTCTGCGACTCTTCTTGCTCGGGAAAGTTTCGGCCATTAACCCTGACCTACACCGACTACTTCTTGGCTGGCCCGACGGAAGCTACAGCGACGATCGGCCGATGACGCTGAGGATCCGAACCAGGACGGCAGAGTCCTTCGGCGCAGCGCGATCCCGGAGGAGCTCCCACTCCCATGGGCAATTGGGCATGCCGGGAGAGAAGCGGCGGAAAATTAAAAGAGAAACGCGTGATCGTCCTGCGAAAAAGAGAAGCGTGGAAAAAATGGTCTGGCGAGCGAAGGTAGACGGATGAACGAGCGAGGCGGTTCCTCCATCGGTTCGAATGTCGGTCTGTCGGGCAGCCAAAACAAAAAAGCCCCGCCGACGGCCTTGAACTTTGGGGTTTGCGGCTCGAGCTCCCCCGAAAAAGCGTGTCGCAGTTTTTCCCGAAGTCGCGAGAGGCAAGAGGCGAGAGAGTGTGTGACTGTGGATCCAGGGGAGAGAGAGAGAGAGAGAGAGAGAACCAAGGCAGCCAGGCAGCCGCCACCGGCGAAATGGCACTTCTTACAGGCTACTTGTTAGGTCGCTCCAAGGTGGGACCCCAGTGCTTCCTCCTCGTATTCATCCTCGTGCTGGTCCTCCAGCACCTCGCGACCCTGGGAAAGGCAGAGAGGAGCTGCGAGGCGAAGGGACGGGAGGAGAAAAGCTGCGGGCTCCGCTGCACCAAGATTTGTGGTTATAGCTTGTTTTTGGTCCAGCGGCATCTCGGAAGGGGTTGTCCGCACTCTTACCGTGCCGGAGAAAGTGAGGACGAGGGTTGAGCCTTTAGAAAGGCTGTGGGCGCCGAAGAGAGAAGCCAAGGTCAGGGCTGGGGTTGTCGTGGACCTAGATAGAAACTGGGAATGACGGGAAGTCGCCAAGAGAAAGTCCGCAGCAGAAGAGGAGAGAGGCTGCTGGACCGAATGGTTCAACCTAACATTCGGCGTCCCCTCGGAGATCGTGCCGGGGGTGCCTTTCTTCCTGAGGTTTTTTCCAAGCCGAAGAAAAGAGCAAGGAATTCGAGGCTGGCTGTCTTGGGCTACGATCGGGCTCGGTGGTTGCCCGCGGGGCTTCACGACGAGGAGGGCAGCTTTTTGCCACGTGCTCGGCATGACCACGACCTTGCCCAATTTTCCGCTGGATGACGACGTGCACGCCGTGTTGCGCTTCCATGCTCTTGCAGAGCGTCCCGATGCTCTACTTCGAGGACCAAGCACGCTCATCGGATGAACTGGACGGGGACGCCTTCTTCGGGCTCCCTCAGCCTTCTCTGACCGTCTCTGACCTTCCCCCGCACGCCTGCCCTTCGCTGCGCTGCCATTTCCTCTCGCTCGTCCCCATTGTCTTCCAGCCTTTCCATTAGCCTGGAATATCTCCAGGACGCGCATCTGCGCCAGGAAAGTCAGGAGGTCCTGCTCCGAAGTTGATGGGAGCGCCGTAGCCTCCATCAACCTGAACCAGAGCGAAGTCGACAGCTATTCCCGAGTCTTTGAGCATTGGAATGGAATCGAAATAGTCTCGTTCGGGTCCCTGAAGATGAGAATAGGCTGGTCGATTGCGAAGCGCAGAACGTAGGAATCGAACCTTAAAGTAAAGAGTAATAAGCACAAGGAGTAACGAGCAAGGGGCAGTAGGGTGGATGGGAGGATGGGAGGATGGGAGGACAGGGGGAGTCCGGGTTCCTGGCTCGTCGTTTACCCCTTCCAGGAGCACGTCGGCTCGATCCCCACCAGCATCGCCGGCAAGTGGCGAAGGACCGTCAAAGGCAGACCCGAACATAGCCGAGGCCGTCCGAGCTCGACCGATCGCCCGTTCGAATCCCGGCTCCCGCGTCAGTGTAGAAACCGCGTCCGCGGTCCACGGTTCAATTTCCGGGCGATGCAGAGTTTTTTGTTCCCGCGGGCAGCCCCGAGGTGAATTTCGCGGCGGGAAAAAGTCGAAACAAAAAAGAAAGCGCGCGCGCGCGCATTCACGTAGCTCATCTCTCTCCCTCTGTCCCTTTTTCCCTTCCCGGTTCGTTCTTGTGTCTTTCTCACACTTTCGCACCCCCAACCCCCTCTGTCACACACACACACACACACACTCACACACTCACACCCGGCCAGCCCAGAATCCTTGCTACCTCCTGGCCATTTTATTCGGAAAGAGCATCCCACGATTTTCGATAAAATCCAAAAAGCTCTGATCTCCTCAGCCCCCATTGCCAGGACAATTCTTCCCTCAGCCTCGCATTCGTCAGGTTGGCCATTTTGATCTCGTAGGTTCCTCGTCCTTGGTCCGGAAGTCTCCTGCCTTTCCTCCCTGCCATCCCCCGTGTCCCAGTGCTACGTTTCCTACGTGTCCTCCAGACAAGCTCTGGTCCTGCGAGCAGCACCACCAGCCACCACCACCTCCACCACCTCCACCATCACCAGAAGGGGTACTCTCGGGAATGAGATGATCGCCCCCCGGAAAACTCGGAAGTGCTTTGCCAGGAGGATGACGGTTGTTCGTTTCCGGCGTGAGATTCCCGGCCGGGGCCACCAGTGGCTACGAGGACTTTGAACGTTTTCATCGGCCAGTGACGTAGAACCCGGTGCGCGGTGCCCCTGGTGAACGTTTTTGGGATTTGGTATTATGAGATCGCGCGGGTCCAGTTCAGCTTCCCCATTGACTCGCGATATCAATGCTTCCTTAGCGCGGATCGCACCTCTCACTCCTCGTTCTACTTGGCCAATTAAATTGATTCGAATTCGATTTCGAGTTAGCGATCGGTAGAAGAAGAAGAAGAAGAAGAAGAAGAAGAAGAAGCTGCTGCGACAACCTGACGTGTTACCCTGGATACGTCATCTTGTGTGCCCGGGATTCCTGCTGATAAGGATTCGAATATTGACAAGAGGCCGGAACTCGCGAGCTCCAGAATCCTGTGCGCTTATCGATTCCACGTGAACGGGGTTCGGAGAGTGCAACTGCCTAGAGAGTGATTTCACGTAAGGATCAAGGCTGAAGAATAAATCGACTAAGAGAAACTCTGTTAGAGTCCGGAGGCAAGTAGATTTAAGGATTTGTTATTCCAGGAACTAGAAAAAGTTGTCAGTGTTACGTTTTGACGAAACGAAGAAACGGAGGAAGAGAGAGGAAGAGAGAGGAAGAGAGAGAGGAACCTCCGACCTCGTCGACTCGTCAACCAAACTTGTGCAATAATTTAAACCACTCGCCGGGCAACGTCGTGCCGATCGCTCCTTCAGGACCGAAGGATCTTGAAGGATCTTGAAGGATCTTGAAGGACCTTGAAGGATCTTCCTAGACCCAGACTCGAAGGGACGAGAAGGGGACGTAGCAAGCGACGTAGGTGCAATAACGCTCGCAAGAATCTAGTCAAAGAAGAAGCAGCGACAACGAGTAGAGTAACAGTGACGGAGGATCGGGAAATTCTGAAGCAGCAACACGCGCACACGCGCACGCACACGCACACGCACACGCAGAACCGACTGATATTTATTTCAAGTATAGATAAATCGATCGCCGCGAATGGTCGAACTTGAAAATATAAATCTCCATTTGGATTCCTTGTATTGTTCCCGAGTGAATGTCGGCTGCGAAAACAAACCTGGAGAAGAATCGAGTGTAGATACATCTATCTATCCATCTATCTATCTATCTCTCCCTCTCCGTTATCTCATCCGAGCTGCGTCCGATTCCTAGATATCGCAGCCAATCGGCATTAGAGAATTATTTCTCATTGCCAATAACCACTGGCATCGGCTGCTCTCTGCTCTTTCTTTTTTCCTTTCTTCTTTCTTTCTCCTGTTTGTTGGTTTTTCGCACCTGTGGGGAATTCGCGCCTCCCTCCACAGCCGCTGGCTTCAAGTCGGCACGCGAATCGTCGAGGGTCCCGTGTTTGCCGTGTTTGCCGTGTTTGTCGTGTTTGTTTGGCCTATGAGGTCACGCGGGACGTTTTTGTTATCGGATTCGTCGAGGTTTTCGAACGTCTAAAGAAAGCCAGGTCGGGAATTCCTTAGTAAAAAGGTGAAAGTCGGGCGCCAAGGACTACTGCGACAGGATCCTTAAGATTTTGTAAAATCAATTAGTTTTCGGTATCGCGTTTTATTGGCCTTCGTTAAATAGATGGTGTATTATTCGGCTTACCGTTGCGTTTCGCCTGCCGAGGATCGTTACGTGCTGGACACGGACCGAGTGATTAGTGCCGATTGATTCGCGGGACTCGAGTATCCTACCAAAAGTGAAAGACTTCCGGTTTATCCTGTGGACCAGCAAGCAGCATCCAGGCGCAACACGGGGAGCGATTCAATCGTATCGCAAGTGTCGGATTGTTCTATAGTGATATAAATCAGTAGTGATCGTGCATCGGGAGGATCAGGTCGACAAGGTCGACCCATCGCCACGTGGACCAGTTCTATTTTCGGTACAGTGAGGTGCAAAATTTTCGGGCGGGCAGATCGGAAAACTCTTGAAAAATTTCACCGACTTCGAGCACGATGTACCCCTGGTACCGGGAGAGCGTCGCGGCGGCCGCCG